CAGTTACATGAAAGGAGCCAGGCAGGGAAATGACAATCAGGAAGAGAGARCCACCAATGAAAACAAAGAGGAGACAGTGACAGCTGCACCAAACAGCTTTGCTAATGGATGATAAGAGTGGAAGGCTAATTACTAATGGCTAATGAGTTGCAAGTTCAGCTGTGTTTTCCCAGCACTAAGCCATGTCTTAATCATCTCTGCATCCCTCCTTCTTAGGCCATGACAAGCACTCAAGACTGAAAGGCAAGACTTGCTTGATGAAAAAGGAGAGGACTTCCAAGGTGGGGTGGGGGAAGTGGTGGTAGCCATCTGAGGTAGAGACTCAGAGAACTGGGGGTTAACCCTAGTAAAGGAGATGTTTTCTRAAATACATTGTTTCAACACAGGTGAAACATCTCACTCATTCTTAAGGACAATTAAGTATTAATGTTATCATTATCTTAACCTAGGTGCTGTTTTTATAGCAGTGGAGGAGGCCTCAAACAGATGTTACCACATTTACCAGTTGTCATCAGCAAAGTGTCACCAATTAGGGGTAGGAGTGGGAGTGTTGCTGTTCATTAGAGAAAAGCTAATAGAGAAGGAGAGAAAAGAGGGAAGGGTGGGAAAGGAACCATTCTTATTTTGCCCTCTCAGATTCTGCTTTTAGCTAACTAATAGAGTAGAATCACAAACTGAGAAGTGCAGTGCCATTGATGGGGACCGTGGACACTGTGCTGAGTGCTTTAAAGCCACACCATTACATGGGAATTTAACTCTAATTATTTTTCCCCTTTCTAACCTTAAAGTCATAATGGTGGCTTTGACCTTTGCCATTCTTTAATGAATTTTTTTCACTTCACTCTAGTTATATTGTACAACGAGTTGCTACGGGCCATATGAATTGCCACTGATACTGACAAAGCCAATTCCAAATACACTATTTGTATGCTACTAGATATAAACAGTTATCATAAAAATTATAAAATAGCCATTGCACCAAGAGCAAAATATTAGGTGTTCAGATAAAAGAAAAGCAACACATACTCTCCCCCCAAGACTTTGCCATCCAAGAAGAGCAAGACACAGTGACAGAAAACCKAGCTGTGTTGGAGGGGTGCCAGTCACTATTAAGAAAACAAGTAGGCAAGATTGCCTTGACCTGACAATGACATCATTTCTACAGCTTGTTGTTCAGATTAAAATTAGATGAAGTAATGCTGCCTTATAGAGTCAGGAAACCTTGGTTTCAGTAGCAGTTATACCATTAAATAACAATGACAAAATCTAAATTTCTTGGGTTCCACTTTCTTAAAATTGGGAGTGGGAGGGGTTTTTGTTTGTTTGCTGTGTTGTTCTAACTTCTTAGACTCTCCAAATGCCAATCTGAAAACCTTCTCATTTTCATCCAAAATGTGCCATGTTTTAAGAAGTTCTGACCTAGAGAGAGAAGTTCACTTTCTATTTATTTTCCCCTCATCACATATGCACAAAAGTCTTCCTGTTTCTACAGTAGTATTGGATTTATTCAAACCTGGCTTGAATCCCAACACACCCAATTCTTCTTGATTAAGCTCATGAATGTATTAAAACAAGCCCTACAATTTCAGCAACTCCCTATTTTGGTTTATCTATATCTCTTGCAATTTTTTCCTCGTTTGTCAGCATTTTCTCAACTCACTGTTCATTCAAGTGGGAAGGAAAAGAAAAACAAATGCAAGGATCAGTCTTTTTATTTTACTAGTGTTTGCATAGTAGATTACTATTATGACAATACAACAGACTCAGGTACAGTATTGAACAAATAATCTTGCCTAAAATAACCATAAAAAACAAAACCTGATAGCCAGAAGGTATTTAATCCTCTGATCCCAMTTTGGTATAATAATAATTTGTAAAATTCAAATAACAATAATATAAGAAGCTGATTTTATAACTATGCCTGGGGTATAGTTTTAGGCATTCCTGGTGGGAAGGAGAGTCACTTTTCATTCAGAGTTCTCACTGTTTTCAGATTTAGCATGTACTTGTACAAGTTTCCTTATAATAAAAATTAAGAAGTAGTATTGGCCAGTACTTTCTGTGTATTTACCGTGTGCCAAGCCTTTTAATTTGCATTACCTCATTTAATTCTCCCAATAACCCTAATGCAATTTTTTTAATTCTYCATTTTATAGATGAAGGAAAAGGGATTTAAAAACACATTCAAGACATATATCTATGACTGAACTGACATTTAATGGGAGTAAATTGATATGATAGAAATAAAAATGCTGGATAAATTAAGTTCCCTTATAAAGGTGAAGCTGTGGTGCCTCATCAATAAAAGAGCATGTTTATCAGATAAATGTTTGCCAGATTTATCATGCAGAAAATTTTGGCTGGGCTCCAATGTTATAATGCTCAGGATTTCACTCGTGCATCCTACAGCTTCCATTTCTCAACTATCCTGTTAAAGGACTGTTTGGAGCTGGAGGTTTCAACCTGGGGGAGTGCCAGCCATAGATAATCCATTGACCTTCATTTATCAAAACTACCTCCCCTATTCCTATAAATCAAGTGTCTGGGTTGCTGTTTGTGGTGCCTCTGCCTTCCCACATCCAAAGAAATTGAGTGTAGGTCTTTAGGTCCTTTTCTTCTATCTGAACACTTAATATTTTGCTCTTGATGCAATAGCTATTTTATAATTTTATGATATTTAACTGTTTATACCTAGTAGCATATGAATAGTGTATTTGCAGTTGGCTTGGTCAGTATCAGCAACTAATTTGTGCTGGGCAGAGTCTATTGTGGAACATCTCCAGGTTTCCAGGTATATAGATTGAGCATAAATCAGAATTTTGAAGGCAAAGAGTTTGAAATGAGCACAGCAAGGGCCTGATCCTTTGCAGAAAGTCATCTCTGCAAATCCCTGGCCAATGAAAATGAACCTCAGAAAAGCAATAGCAGTTACTTTAGCAATAGATATAAGTAGAGCAAATACTTTTGTGTGTCTCAGATTGTRTTTTAATATTTTTATTTGTTTTAATTAGTTGTACATGACAGTAGAATGCATTTATGCACTTTTATATATCATACATAGATGGGATGTAATTTCTCATTTTTCTGAGTGTACATGTTGCAGAATCATATTGGCCATGCAGTCACRTATATACGTACAGTAATAATGTCTGTTTCATTCTGCTGTCTTTCCTATCCCCACATCCCTCCCTCCCATCACTTCCCTCTATCTAATCTAAGCTAATGCTATTCTTCCCTAGTGCCCCTCGCCTTATTGTGAATTAGCATCTGAATATTAGAGAAAACATTCATCCCTTGGTTTTGTGGGATTGGCTTCTTTTGCTTAGCATAATATTCTCCAACTCCAACCATTTATTGGCAAATGTTAGTTGTTTAATTTTCATAGCTAGCTAAGAGAAAGATTAGGAGGAGTTAGCATGCTTTTCTGCACTCTAGGATATGTGGTTTCCAGTGACGAGATACAATAATTCACCTGCTAGCATGAACCTCTGAGGCACCAGATGCTCATTTTATGGTGTGCTTCCAATCCTACTATTAATTTTAGTCTTAAAATGACCATATCCCTCATCAGGAAGCTCCCATCTTGTGGACAAATTAGCTTTTGGGGGAACTGAGGATGTATTTTTTCCAAACACTGCTTCTTCTACCAGTATTTACTTATGATTTACTATATGCCAGGTATTCTTTGTGGTGCTTGAGACAGAGCAAAGAATAAACAGAACTCTGTGGAGCTCATAGTCTAGTGAGAAAAAAGGGGCAATGGCAAACCAAATAATTAGTATGTTAGAGAACAAGCTAGGGAACAGTACATGACACCCTGACACAAGGCTCTCCTGGGCATGGGAATGAAGAGGAGGCCATTGTGGTTGGAGTTGAGCTAGTACTGAAGACCTCTTTTTGTGTGGAGGGGGGCTGTTTGCCGGAGATAGAACCCAGGGCACTCCACCACTGATTCGCCCCCCAGCCCTTTTTTGTATTTTATTTAGAGACAGGATCTCATTGAGTTAGTTGCTTAATGCTTCACTTTTGCTGAGGCTGGCTTTGAACTTTCAATCCTCCTGCCTCAGCCTCCCAAGGTGCTGGGATTACAGTTGTGCACCACAGTGCCTGGCTAAAGATCCCATCAAGGGTCAGATCCTTTAGGGCTTTTCAAACCATTGTAATAACTCTGGCCTTTATTCTGTGTGAAATGAGGAGCCATTCAAAGGCTTTTGTATAGAAGAGTGATAGCATATGACTTTGGTTTCTTATAGAAATAATGACTGTGTGATGGCTTTCCAGAATGACCCACCAAAGCCTGCTTAACCCTCACTGCCATAGAACCCAAGTGCTCATCATACCCTGGGGGTCTGAGCTCTGAGCACTGGACTTAGATCCAGGAGGCAGGAGTTTGACTCACAGCTCAGTCAAATGACTGTGAGCACATCAGTTAACATCACTGAACCCCATACGCCTCATCAGAGGAATAAGGAAAAACTCTTCCTTTCCCTTTGGCTTTATTTTGAAGATCAAGTAAAACCCGAACATGGAAGCACTTTGTGAATTATAAAACACAATATAGATGTCAGGAGAGGTGATGACAACAATGGTAGTCAATATTATTTCAAGGAAAATTAACTGCAAGGACTAAATCAGAAGGCTGGGTGCAAGCTTCCCTCTCCCTTCGCTTCTTATGAAATAGCTATGGAAATGGCGCTTCCTCCTCCTTCTCCTGTATTGCARGTAGAAGAGAAAGACAAGGACCCAGTTGATCTCAATAGAAAGTGCTAATTAGGCTCCCAGGTGGACCGGTCGTAACTCACAGGGTGTTGGTAAATGGGGGCCTTCCCAGTCTTAGGTMGTGGATTGGTCCATTGCCAAGGTGCTGTCTTAGTGGGAACATCATGTCTCTCCCTGTAGCTGGCCTATAGGCCTCCCAGGTTCAGGTGGCACGATATTAGGCTGTCCTTAGGTGGATGACTTCTCCAAGTGACCATAACCCTTGTCTTCTTTCTCACCAGGCATTCCTCCTATGGAAGGCTTTTGGATGACCATGACTACGGGTCCTGGGGAAACTACAACAACCCTCTCTACGACGACTCCTAACAAAGGGCTGTGGCCTGGGCTGAGGACTAACTGTTCTTTATTTATAAGTGCTTATCCAGTAGAATTCATAACAAGTACCTGATGCACACTGAACGACAATCTTAAGCCCTGTTGTGTTGGTATGGTTGTTTTGTTTTTATCCCTCTCCTCTGGCTGCTACAACTCTCCCCCCGCCCTTTTTTTTTTTTTTTTTGGTACAAAAGAACCATGATTTAAAGGTGAGTGGAGGCCAGTTTGCCACCAAAATGGGCCAGACTTGCACTGGCCAGGGTAGACCACCATGGTGGAGGCTTCAGCACCACTGAGGACCTACTTCAAGAAGGATGAAGGAAGAGGGAGTGAGCTGTTTTGTTGGGGTTATGTTTAGGGGAACTTTTTGTTTGGGTTATTTCTTTACTTTCTGTACATTTTCCATGTGGAAAAAAAGAAGTCCTCAGAGGATTTCACCCTAATGTGTGGAAGCAGGGGTTTCTCAGATTCCTTTTTAATCTCTCTTTTATCTGGTTGTCTCTACAAGCTGGCTAGCTGATGATTCTTAGCTGCCTAATTAATGAACGATGAAAATGGGAAGTTCCCCAGAGGAGGTCAGAGGGTCTAGAGGCAAAGCAGCAGGCTGCTGTTGGATGTCAGCATGCCCTCTACCTGTTCTCTTCCAGGTGGCTCAAATGCACCTGGAATCCCAGCTCACAAGCTCTCAGACAAGATGTGTTCCAAAAGAGAAGGCTATGAGATGAGCTTAGTTAAAGAAGAGAAAGGAGAGGCATGTGCAGGTGGGGGGAGCCAGCATAATTGTCAGAAATATCCACTAAGGCTTGGAGGAACCCATATGGTCCTTGCCTCATGCCCATAAAGCAACTGGTTCACTGCCTTACTGTCTTTTACATAATGACTGCAAACTTAAAAAAAAAATTTAAAAAGAGGCACTGTTCTCTCCACAGTTGCATTTTGAAGCATTACCATAGGAAACAGACACCACAAATTCATTTATTGTCCCATTTACTTACTTTAGTTCTTCTTCTCTTTAATATGAACACCCACTTATTGGTTATCTAGTCTTAAAATCCTGCTCAACAAATTTGGGGAAGCTATGGTTCATCTTTGAAGGTACCCATTTATTTCAGTCATTCTCAACCAGCAGGTGACTTTGCCTCCCCACCTTAGGGACATTTGAAAATGTCTGTTGACATTTTTTAATTGCCATGATTTGGGAGTACCACCAGTGGGTAGAAGCCAGGGACACAGCTAAACCTCCTACCATGCACAGGACAACCCTTTACAACAAAGAATGATCTGACCCAAAACATCAGTAGTGTTGTGATCAGAAAGCCCTGATGTATTAAAATCACCCCTGTGGCAGAAGGAGACACTCACAGTTTAGTAATGCTCTTTTATTTTCAACAAAATGAAGCAATGTATCATTTTTATCCTCAAAGTGTTGTGTCTGTTGGCTGATAATTTCTTGGCATGATGGTTATCTTTTTATTTTTTTGTGTGTGTTTCTGGGGAGTTTTATTTCAGGGCTCCGCCTATGTCCTCCTCTAACATCTGATATTAGCAATTGGCATCTTCTGTCCTGATTTCATGTAGCAGAAAACATACATTTCAAAATGTGTCATCCCGTAACATCATAGAAAACTCAAAACTGCATCGATTTAGATTTCTCAACATGGACCTTGACACTATGGCTCTTTTTAGGAAAAACCACTATTGCTGTGCTTTTCGGACCCCCTCAGGTGTCAGAGACCAAGAGCAGTGCCACTTCCCACAACCTACTCTCTGGAAAAAAAAAAAATCTGTTCCTGAACCCTTTAGGTGCCAAAGACCCCAGAGGTCTTCTATGACCAGAGTCAGCAATGAGTATTAAAAGCTTCCAGGAATTAATGTTTTCTGAACATTAGATATTAAAAAAAAAAAAAGACATGGACCTTCTCAGAAAAATGGCAAAGACGGACCAAGAGCAAGAGCCTCCCTTCTGACTGTATTTGGCCTGAATAATTGTCCCTCTTCCCACTTCCAATCCCATGACAGGGCTTTCAGTTTGGCAAAGAACAAGCCCATAAAATCCAGATATTCCATATTATTTTTCCCCCCTCAACCAAAAACATTTTGACACAAGGTCCATGAAACAACTTTGGAGAAGTCCACTTCTGGACCTTGCTTTTGTCATATGCACTGGGTCAGAGGCACCAGCCTCTTCCCTGGTACCCTGGCCTATTGTAAGTCACTGAAGCAATAAGCATTTCTCCACACTGAAAGATGCTGTCATGCAAGAAGAGCACCTGCACAATTAACTGATTACTTCCAAATGCTTCTAGCAAAGACAAGGCCTAAAGCAGATGAATTCAGCCAGGTGACAACTTCCCTCTTAATCCAGAACACTCAGTGTGAAATGCCTAAGGGTAGAAACTGATTTTGCCAAACGTGTATTTTTCTGCTTTTGAATTGGCCAAAATATTTTAGCAAGTTTATTCTAAAAATGTTATTGAAAACACACCACATAACATATCTGAAATATATGCCAATAACTAATGTCCTTCACCTCACAGAGAGTCTGTTCAGGTCCACTCAAAGGAAATGGCCCCAGTAGATCTTATACAACCACATCCCATCTGTAGGTAGGACTGGTCCTAATGCTTTAAAGAGAATGTCAGAGCAGGAGGGAGACAAGCAGCCTCTCTTTGATGGATTGCAAATGATCAAAGAGTGTGATTCAACTTGCTATTTTTTTTTTCCTGTAGCCCTGATGAAGTCTCCTGCCCTCCCTGCACGTCTGCGTCTTCGTTTCTGAAATGGGGTTGATGCTTTCATATTGACCTCACCCCATACTACCTCACAGATGTGTTGTGAGGATCAATGAAATCATGTCTACARTGTTTTCAGTTTCTGGAAAAAAAATATTTATAGACATTTTAAGTATTACATAGATATATAAGTGATCTCRGTTTCCTGTTTGCTGTTATACTGATGTGTTGTTTTACTTATTCTGTAAAACTGCAATTATGTCATAGCCACATCAGACAGTGATTATAGCTCTGCTGCCCCAGTGCAGCTGAAAGACARCAGGGTTAACTGTGCCTGGGATCAAAAATGATGGTTTCCATCTCTAAAAGAAGGGACAACCCAGGACATAGGTCTCACAGATTCTTGAGTCAGGATCCATGAGGTTAGGGTAACACAGAATGTATACCTGAGCTCTAGCAGCAGTAGACCTCTGTCCTTCACTATCCCAAGGTCTTCTGGATTCTTTGTGGGGGTCAATTGTGGTTTGACGTAATCTGTTTGCTCTTCATCTTGCTTGCAAAGGTGCATGGTTCAATCCCTCGCATCTGGGAAATGAATTTTGCAACTGGGCCAGATGCTAATTTGCACGTTGATTCACCTTCTTTGCCTTTGCCCTTTTATTTTTTTCCCTTGGAGGGGAGGGCAAATGAATGTACCATTTCAACTTTGATCTTGAAAGTGCTAGTTGGTATGGGTATTAGTGCTAACCAAGAATACATTGCCAGATTTCTTTCTTGGGGTAAGTTAACCCACATAATTGAAAGATGGAAAGATGTGCAACTTCTTTGATATTTGATGTCACTGTATCTACATTTGTTGTAATACATATTGCATACCAATTATATCAATTAAAGTTGTTAAAAGCTTGTGTCTGGTTGGAGTGATTGACATTTTGATAGATTTTGTTATTTGAGCTATTCGGTTGACAGGCTTAATGCTGCTCATATTAAGAAGCTCTAACTTTTCTTAAAGAAAATTTATCCATCATCAATAAATTATATTTTCTGCAGGGCAGGAAGTTCTTTCTGATCTTAAAACAGAATTGAAGCATGTCAGCATTGAAGAAACTTTCCAAGCAGTGATTTCATGCTCAAATATTCTGCATGCCTTATAAAAAAGATGTAAAAATAAGTGCTTTGATTCACTGAGTTGAATGGCAATACATAATTGAGTCATATTAAGGAATATTGGCATTAGCAATACATGTGATACTTCCTTCATTCCCCTTTAAAAGATTAAATTCAGAATATTCATTCTCACCAGACATGTAAGTATTGAGCAGCCTCAGCCATCCAAAATAAAATTGTGACTCCAAGAAGCTAACCAAATATTATTCTGATTTTGAAGAAAACAGCAACAGCAAATCCATCATTTTGCTGTATGGTAATGGACCACCTGCAAACTAGAAATTGTTGATTAAAYGATGGATGTAAAGTTAAAGCCAGGTTTAGTAAGTTTAATTACCTGGCTTCCAGGGACACCACATGGAGGACTGACTGGGAAAAGTGAAGATAAAGAATGAGGACAAATCAGAGCACGGGTGGCCCACACTTGTAATCCCAGCATCTTGGGAGGCTGAGGCACGAGGATCACAAGTTCAAGGCCAGACTTGATGATTGAGTGAGACCTTGTCTCAAAGTAAAAACTAAGATTGGAGTAAGGACATAGTTCAGTGGTAAAATGCCCTGGGTTCAGTCCCCAGTAACAAAAATAGAGGAAGAAAAAAAAAAAAAAAAGGAGGACCAAGCATGAAACGAGAACTTTCAATTGATTATCCAGTGCTATAGTTTRGATAAGGATCCACCACTGGCTCATGTGTTAAAATTGGGTCACCAATTTACTGTCCTGCTAGTGGGAGATGGTGGAATCTTTAGGAGATGGGGCATGATGAAAAGAAGTTAAGTTATTGGGGGCATATCCTTAAAGGAGATATTAGGACTCTGGCCCCTCCTCTTTCTCTCTCATTATTTCCTAGCTTCTGTGAGGTGAGCAACTTCCTCTGCTACTTGCTTCTTCCATGGTACGTTGCCTCACCTACAGGCTCAAGAGCAACAGGCAAACCGACCATGGACTGAAACTTCTGAAACTTGGAGTCAAAATAAATCTTATAAGTTTATTATCTCAAGTACTTTGTCACAGTAACAGAAAGTTGACTGATACATTCGGTTATTTCTTAAGGACCAGCTATGGACACAAAAACAACTAAAATAGAGTGCAGTGATCTAGATCTGAGTTAGTGATTTTCTTGTGGTTGTGGTGCACCTGCAAATGCTGGGAACTTCCTATGCAAAAAGTATAGGTCAAGATTGCCCAGTTGATGTGGTGACACCCTGCCCATGAAGGCTCTGTGTAAAGCACAGAAGCTGTATCAGTTTGGGCCTTGATCTCAGACACCAGCTCCCAGGGACAGAGGATTCTGAGCATAGACAGATAACCACAATGTTTTACCAGTGCTATGACCTCCAAGCCTGCCTACTTAATAGAAACTTTGGACAATTGGCTTCTTGGGTGCCACAGGAAGCTCCTATCATTGCAATGGTGGAATAGCTACAAAAATGTTTCTAGTCCTATAACTTTCTAGTGTACAAAGAACAATCCTTCTATAGTCTTTAACTTCCTGGTTGTGAGACCATATATAATAAACATGTGGAGCCAGCTCTGGGTCACTGTTTTTCTATCAGAGATCAGTGTCCCACCTGATCCCACTTTTCTATGTGTTTGTGTGTCTTTCTTAATCACCCATCACCACTCACTGGTTTATAGGGTTCAGCCATGCAGGTCATGTCACAAAGACCACATTTTTTCAACTTTGACTGAACGGAATTGGTCAGAAAGCACTTTAAATGTGCATATAAACAAAAGACTTAATAGGAATGTGTGGTGTTAACACGTTATAAATTCTTAGGTTCAATWCAACATTTTTCCTATGGTATAGCTTTTCCGTGTCAGATGATTATCTGCTTCAATTATTTAGTGACCTATCTGYGATCTCTAACTCTCTTAACGTTCAATACCACTCACCAATACCTAGCTAATATTTTGTTCTTTGACAAAAAGCAATAAATCAAAAATAACTCTTGAAATTGAAGAATATTTGTTAAGAGGCAGAATCTTTTCCTTAAAGGATGTAGTCTAAGAAATRTAGAACGGAATCTACTGACTTCACTAAAGCACCATTCATCAAGTGGAGTCAACAAATGTACTGAGTTTCTATCTTAAACAAAAAATTAAATATTTTAATTTAATTTGATATAAAAAGAAATGAACCAAGTATTCATTAGGAAACTTAGGTGCCTTCYATCTTACAGATGTGGAAGCTGAGGTTCTAGGATATTAAATTCATTCATCTGCATGCTGAACCTAGGTACCCCAAAATGAATAAGGTGAATAAGATCTCCCAAGTATTTTCAGTTTAGTAAGTGGCAAGGGTGGAACTCTATCTGTCATCAGAGCCCTTAGTCTTTTTCCACCCAAGGGACTGAGATCTGATGAAAATATAGCCTGGATGGTAAGACCCTCCCACCTCCTGCWAATATGGGACTTTCCACCCCTTGCAAAGGCCCCCTCAGCTATTTCAGGCAGTCTCAAGGGTGTCTGGCATGTAACTGAGCAAGCCCAGTCAGCTCCCAAACACATGTTCCTTGCTAGGCACTGTTACCTTTCTGCTGACTCCTGCTGTTGCTGGGTTGTGTACACTACCAAGAGGGAGACTGCCCATCTTCCTGTCCTGTCAGGACATCAGCACAGGGCCCCATGGTCTCATGGAATTTCAGTGAAAACTACTCTTGGTTTCTGCTTGTGATCTCCCTGCTCTTCACAGGAATCAAATGACCACAGCAGCCTAGAGATGCTGCCCTGGGAATCATTCCTGGCTATTACCCTGAGGCTCTATCATTGGGCCAACTTGAATTTCCTTGGAGTAGTAATGATCATAGCTGACTCTCACATAGCACCCACTGTGAGCCAGACACTGTTCCAAGTACCTTACATGAGTTACATAGTATTGATATTTCTATAGCATAGATGAGGAATTAAGGGCCAAAAGTGGGAAGAGATTTGACCAAGGTCACAAACTGGGTCAAGGGTAGAATTCAAATGCCAACAGTTGGTCTCCAGGGTCCATGCTTTGGAGAATCCTTACTCCGTGCT